GAAATTACTTGAAAGATATTTAAAATCTTTTATTTCATTTTATAACTTTTTTTCCATCGGAATTATTAAGAATTTTGGGGGTGGACAAACGTCGAAGATATTCAGAGAAGATATTTCTACAAAAGGCAACCATATATGTGCAGCAAATATGTAGAAGATATGTTGATGCCACGAGGTGAAGAAACTTCTTAATATAGCAGCCTTTTCGGATCTAAGTAATACTTGCTTGATAAGGCTATTTGCTGTTTACCTCGACACCTTCCATCCACGACGTCGTCAAAGCGTACAACGACGAACTCGAACTCTATTCCTCAACGTTACGACGACTACCTGATGGCAACCAAAGCTCAACATTCAACAGTATGGCAACAGGGACCAGCCAGCTTCAAAATCACGGCTAAGACCGATATTTGTACACTGCCGATCAATATGCCGAAGTTAATTATAATCAAATACTAATATAATATTGTCCATCAAATATTTCCCACTGTCTGACTATTTCCCATCGAGCGATCCAACGCGCCGATTCGTTTTGTCACTGTACAACGAGGTAACCCCCATGTTCATCTTCTAGTTTTCATTGAAATCAGAAACGTTCAGTTTCTAGAGTCGTGTCTGAATCAACTCCTACTAAGACCTTCTTCACCGTCACTCCTCTTCCTGCCATCGTCTCAGCTCTCACTGCCCATTCTATCTCCCCGACAGCAAGAAGGTTCTCATTGCGTCGTCATATACCTCTGACCACTTAACCGACCCTTAAATTTCAACAGGTGATTGAATATTTATATTGTTAGACTTTCCTACATAGTACAGTGATTATAATACGGCTAAAAACAATCGCGCATTTGAGAGCATGTCACGAAATACATAGGTGATGGGTAGAAATGTCATGTGTATGGACAAGTAGGAGATGAGGAGTTGAAAGCGGCCAGTTGACCAACTTTAGGAAGCTGGTGGAGTAACCGACAAAAAGAGAGATGTAATAACGTGGGGTGCGTGTCAACCGATGCCAGTGGTTACACCCAAACATGGTGGATACTGGAGATAGTCGAGACCACTGTCCATGTAAGAGAATACATTAGCAGCCTAAAAGACAAACAGGATCAAACCACATACCGTTCGTTTGGCTCTGTAATTTTCATTTAGAAACACGGGAGAGGCAACAAACAAAGTAACAGTATATGGTTTCAAGGGATATCTTCAGGACACCACGAGTCCCTCATAAATAAGACCCGAAATACGGCCACGACGAGCGAGACGACGAATAGCGGGTCTCGTGGTACCTATGAAACCGGTGAGCGAATGATAGGGCGGGAGTGAGTCTGACACGAAATACACCCTGGATATTATCGCAAAAAAGCACTTAAGCTCCGTCTTTCCGAGTCCCTGGAATATCAGACTAAATCAGCAATTGCCACATGAAACCACTGAAGCCCTCAAAATCATACCTATCCGCCTTTTCTGTGGCCTGATATGGGGAAGTGCCTCAAAAATGATGTGCTTAACAGCTTCGGGTGGGGACGACGCGTCAAGTGGCTGAAGAGGAGGCAAGCAAAGTCAGTATGCAGACCCCTTGCGCTTGACACAAGGAATCGTCTTGATGGCGTCAAAGAGATACTCATGCTGGGCTGAGTCCTTGGTGAATGTTCTCCACCATAATTTTCAGCCCATAAGAGCACCATGCCTCGGCTGCTTCATTCGAAAAGTGCTCAAGCAGGTTTTCGTCGATGGTACCGTCAGATACAGCGAATCCTTCGAGGGGTCCATCTCCTCAGCCGTTCAGAAAGATGCCTCGCCTTTCTTATACATCTGCCAAATCTAATAATGAGCGTCAGGATCGATGCGACATGACTAAGAGATGGACATCTAACTTACCTCGTTGTACCTGTGCTGTACGGTATGGGAAACGAATCAGCGCTTTGACTCCTGGAGCAGAGGCTCGGCACCTGATACTGTTCGTGAGATCACGGTGACGCTTCAGAGATAGAACACATACTCTCTGGAAAGTCAAATTCTCCAACGAACTTCTTGTGAAACTCTTGTAGCTGAGCCTCCTCATCAGTGTCGGGTGATGACACGGGCAATTGCTCATTGTCGGTAAGTTTCACGAAGAGTTTCTTTGAGACCTTTGTTGGTGAGTCGAGCGAGAACGCAGCTAGATCTGCGACGACCTGAAGAGTGGTCAGGGGAGGTATACGGCATGATGCGACGTGATGCGAAGCTTCTTGCTGTCAGGGAGACAGAATGGGCAGTGAGAGATGAGACCATGGGAGGAGGAGGAGTGGTGAAGAAGGGAAGTCTTGGTAGGAGTTGGTTCAGACGCGACTCTAGAAATTGAACGTTTCCGATTTCAACGAAGACTGGAAGATGGACATGGGGGTCACCTAGTACCTCGTTGAACAGTGACAAAAAGAATCGGCGCGCTGGATTGCACACTTTGGCAATAATCCGAAATCGATAGGAAATATCAAGGAAATATTTGATGGACAATATTATATTAGTATTTAACTATAATTAACTTCGGCATATTGATCGGCAGTGTACAAATATCGGTCATAGCCATGATTTTGAAGCTGGCTGGTCCCTGTTGCCATACAACAGGGAGATGGGAATGCGCCCAGCAACAACAAAGTGTCTGCTATCAAGCTCAAGCAAGCATGACCCTTGAGTTGCCATTAGCTCATGACAAAGGCAAGTCGTGCTCACTTGACATCAAACCACCACCAGCCACTCATGGCCGGCACCAACCCCAAAGATAACCCATATCTTGCGCATCATTATAATGGGAGAAAGGGGGCAGGACCCGAGCCTGCACCAAGTAGCTACACTCACGCAAACTCGGCATATTCACCGAATCAGCCACAACTCCACTATGCCTCCTCCTCCACCAGCTGACAAACGATTTGTTCACTGGAAGATACTGGCCTCTCACGCAAATCCTACGGCGTCGGATTGCTCCACCGCAACACGGAACTTGTGCAAGTTTTCAACTCAAGCAATGTCGACCAAAAAAAAACAGAACAACAACACTATGACTACAACGACGAGTGAATGTTAACCCCTACAAAAAGAATCGGTTAGGAACAAGGGCTTAGGGAAGGCTGCCGTTGAGGATCTGGGTGAGCACCGAGGTCAGTATTCAATGTGGAAGATGTCAAGCGAGGGCCGACTAGGCAGGTGATGTACATGTATTGAGATCAGAGGATGTACAGCGACAAAGTCTCGACAAAAACTACTTACTTGGACATGCGAGCCTCAAAGGTAAGTCTTATCATTGGCCGCATGCAGACCGGTTTCCTCGAGAAGGAGGGTTCTCGGATAAGCCAACATGGCATTTTACGTGACGTTTCTCGATGGAGCCATCGTGATCGGAATCAGGTCGTCATATCGGACGGAATCCAGCGACCAAGTTCCCTACTGGGTAAAAGATTATTATAAAGGTAAGCATCAGCACTTTGCGCGCCCATCACTCCTCCTTTCACTCCTATATTCAAGATACGCCAGCGAAGCACCCATTCTCCGTCATCGCGTTGGCTGACAGGGTTTGCAGCGGTGTCCTTGAGGCAGTGTAAGAACAGGATGGTCACCCGTCATCAAAGTGGCTGAGGCTGCCGTCGTGAAGTTGTCGTGAAGTATGTTCAAC